ATATATATTACATATAGTACGTATGTGTGTGTGTGTGTGTGTGTGTGTGTGTGTGTCAAAATATATTATTTTAATAAATTAATGAGTAAGAGATTAATGAGTAATGAAAAAAACATCGCCCAATATAAATAAATGTGTGCTATATGCGCATTATATGTTTAGAAGACTCTCCCTAAATATGTTTATATTAACATTAGTCAATAGGTATATGGCATTACAGAAGTGGAAAATTACTTTCAAACATACCATGTAACGTCACTAAAGCTGTTTTATCTTTTTTTGGTTCAACTATGTCGTCAACTGCTTTCGGCATTTCTGAAAAACAGTATAAATAGAAATAAGATTAGGTTTTGTTATTTATAAATATTTATATTTATTACTAAATTTATGTATTAATAGTAATATATATATAGTAATTCATTTCAAATACCTCTTACAGTTCCTTGTTTTTCTTGTTTATCATCACTGGTTGTTGTGTTTTCTGAAAAGCAAAATAAAAAATATGTCTTTATTTAATTTTCTAAATAGATTTTTACATTTTTATTTCATAAAACGAAAAAGATATCTCTACGTTTGCTTTTATATACAGTTATCATATTTTTTAATATTATCTTGCACAAAGTTTTATCCTATAAGATATAATTCAAACTTTAAAGAAATTGAATAATATATCTTATTCAATTTCAAATGTTATTTTTTGTAAAAGTCGAATAAGATAACATTTTTTTCAACAATCAAATATATAAATATTAATTAATGTAATACTTGTATTATTGTATTTCAATCCATCACTTTTTACGATATCTGTTACAGGTTTATATTCCAAAATTCTATCTGTAACATTTAACCAATCTTCAAAACCATTGTCCATATTTGCAGTAACCTCGTTATTTGATTTTGTAGATGTACATGCTAAACACATAAATAAATAAATAAATAAATAAATAAATAAACATACACACACACACACACACACACACACACACGCGCGCGCGCGCGCGCGCGCATGAAATTGTATAATTTACAAAGAGTTGATATTATTTATATTTTTTATTATTTATATTTTTTATGCATATATTAATAACAAACCTGGTTTAGTTGACAATTTCTTATTCGATAGGCTCAGTGAATCTGATATATATTCACTTTCTGGTATATAATGTGATGACATGAAAAATCTCTTCTTTTTTGGTTCAGCTACAAATTTTCAAAAATTATTATAACAGGTTTATATTTTGACTGTAATATATAAAATTTATTATAGACTAGACATGCACACTAACGCGCTCACTATTCAGTTTTTATCACTATATTATTTTTACAAAAACCAAACATATAATATAAATTATTATATACCATCGCTGCTGGATGTGTCGCCATAAAGTTTTCGCGATTTTATAAGTCTTTTTTTGTTTCCTTTGTTTGTTCCTGTATAACAATATTGTCATCTGACGCAGACATTTCGCTTACTGCTTTTTCAACAGCCCGTGCATTTGAATAATTTTCATAAGGACCAAAGCTCTTATTAAATTTAAATTCATCCCAATCATTACATGGCAACTGTTTCATACAAGCTTGAGAAAGCTGTTTAGTTTTTTTAGGCATTTTAAATGTAGACTGCCCAAAGTCTATCCATGTTTCTGGCACTGTTATGCAATACGTATTATATAACAATACGTAAAACACCTGTAAAAATTTAAAAACATATATTAATATAAGTAATTATAAAATGACCAATAATGAAGAGCTTACAAAATATTGTATATATTATATGAAGATATGTTAAAAGACAGTACTAAATTTGTAACATTGTTAATTTTATTAAGAAAATGTTACACTTAATATTTTTATTTATAAAGTACATAAAACAGAAAAATAAGTAATACGTACGAAATTGAAATCTCTATTGCTAAGCATATTATTCCACAATTGTTATTGTTGATAGGATTATTTTAATTGGATGAAGAATGTAATAATGGCATGCAACACCAAGAAGTTGGATATTCAAACGGAAGTTGAACAGTTTTATTAACGATTTCTGTAATTGGCCACATCTGTTCATCCGTTGATAAATTTTTAACCACATATGTCCATATGTTGTGAGTCACAAGAATAAAATGACAACAAATTTGACAATTTTTTTGTTAAAAACTTTTTTCCAATAATAATACCTATTCCCTCTTCGTTATAACAAATATGTTCAATTACGACAATTGTTTTGTCCTTGAGATAACAACAATTATTGAGAAAATAAGAAACCCAATTCTTATTTTCCAATTGAAAGTTGCTGAATTCAATGGTGCAATAAGCATTGATACAATTCATTGGAGGAAGTTTAAAACATTTGTTTTCCAATATAGGTATACTGCTTTTGTTATAATCCGATTGAAGAACTGCGTTGTAATTTTCAGAAATTCTATTATATAATTGCTGTAGTGGTTTTTCGGCTTTTCTCAGTATTTTTTTTATAGTCTGCATGTAATTTTCGAAAGGAAAAGCAGAAAAATCATCCAATGGTCCAAACATCAGTACATCTTCATTAATATGAATTAAATTATGCACATTATAAACGATAGTTTCTTCACCGTATAAATATTTAAATATATGTACAAATTCATTCAGTAGATCTTTGGTGTATTTATTGTTACGAAAACAATCTGTTGGATGACACAATATCCGTATTGCACAATTTATTGCATTGAAATGAAGTAAGTTATCTTCAGGCATAATATTTATCAAGATAACAGGTCCAAGATTCACAGTAAAAATTCCCGCAACTCTGTCGCTTTCCAATATTTTAATTCGTCCAGAGAACGTGGTTTTCGAGCAAACTCCTTCGATACCCATTTCGACATTGTAATTAACTTTTCTGACAACTCTGCTATTTTTCGCCCACTTAATCTTGATGTTTGATATCCACTAGTCCATAATTGCACGAGTTTCTTCATAACTCCTAAACATACCAAGTGCATGTAATCTAAAGGAAACTGTGAAACCATTGGCAGTTGTATTGATTCGAAAGGAGATACACCAGTATGGTGATGTTCTTATACTCTATTTTTGAAACTGTCATCAGTTCGAAGAGGTGCACTGGGTTCCAAAAATAACATGTGATGATTAGAATAGGTGCCTTCTTGCATACACTTTCCACATCCAAAGAATCCATTATGACCTTTTGTACAAGTTACGAATGCTCTTGCAGGACTATCGCAAATTACACTTCTAATTAATACAGTGTATCTTTTCTTGCCGAAAATAAATCCTTTATCTCGGAGAATCTTATATTCCTCACAGAAAGGTTAACAATTTATCTGGAGAAGATGGTTTCTTGTATCCATGATAAGCACTAATTACAAATGGTGAAAATCTTTTGTCACTATAAATTTTACCTAATATTGGCCAAATTTGACTTTTACTGCTTTTTGATATTGGAAGTCCATTGATATTTAAGTCAATCAAAATCACATCATTGCTGATTATAAATTTTTTGCGTATCAATTGTTTAATTAATGCTTCTTCTAGACCGTAATGAAAAAGCTTTCATTATCATCTAATATCTGTACGATACTATTTCTCGGCGTATTTAACAGTGTTCTTGCATCCTTAGACAGATCAGTATGACCACATGAATGCAATTTATTCAATAATTCTGATAAAGCAGTGTTAGTAATATTAGTTATGTTTAAGTTTCCAAAAATGTAACTAATTTGAAGGATGTTGATTTTCATGAGTCTGTCCTCCAGTATTGTCTTTACTTTGCGATTCAACAATAACGTGAATATCAGAATTAGATATAGTTGAATTTGGGTCGATAGAAAGTACATTTAAATCATTGTCTGAATTCCAATCAGATAAAGCACACTGTTTTTTAGGTACAGTATCTGCTAGCGACTGACTTGTATCAGCTAGCGACTGTAAATTGACTTTAACTATAGGTTTGTATACAATTGGTTGTCGTTCCTTTTTTTCGTACGCTTCAAGACGTCGATTTTGTTGCCGTAAAGATAACTGAAAATTTTTCGGCATCTGTTAATAATACATTATTATAGAATAGTGTTATATATTTAAATTATTTATGTATTATTATATACAGAATTGGGAGGTCACACGTTACTTAAAATAAATGTCCCAATAGTTGAGCATGTTTCTAGTATATGAACATTGCAATAAATATTTATAATTATTAAGCTATATATATTATATATTAGTCTATATATATTCTATTTTATATTATATATACAAAATATATTAATATTTAAAACTTGCATTTTTCAATATTTATTAAAAAAATTATCTTCAAACATTGGAAGAAAAAAAATGTATAAGCTTGAAAAAATTGTTTTTATAATGCTGTCTACTTATATCTATTTTCTTAATGATCTAGTTAAGACATGCCATTTACTACTTAAGAGTATATTTTCTATATAAATTGTGCTTTTATAAAAAAATAAAAGCTATTTTAACTCATAAAAACATTTATTATTAAAGTAAACTCTTTCCTTTATTAAATAAAGTTATATAAAAATAATAAATTTAATATATATTTACTAATACTCAAAAATTCAATGTAGTAACTTCAATTAATATTTTATGATTAATAGCAAATTCGATTAGACGCATTATTATGCACTGGTGCGGGCTAATCAAATTCACTACAAGTTTTATTATTTCGTTTTCATTATATTGTCAAGATTTTTCGATTAGATTGTACAAATTAGATTGTAGTGTTTTATAATTAATTTAATATCCTGGTAAACAATTTACGAATAGAAATTAATATCGAAGAATATAAGAAAACAAAATCTTAGTATAGCCTCTGATTTAAGGGGATGCTAAATTGACGAGCGAACTCCGATGAAAACGTTCACACATATGCACATCTACACATACATAGATACATTTATATATACATACATACACTTATACATACATTTTTGTACACACATGATATACATATGAACGAATTTTTGTATAATCTTTCTATTCGTAATAAGTGTCTAAGCTTAATTCTAAGAACTCAACATTGCTTCTTCATGTAACCTTCTAGTCTAGCAATATCAGTTTTGTAGATACAGGCTGTAAAGGTTTCACATAAAGCAAATATTTGCGCGACTTGACAGCTTTGGATGCCATTTTAAGGTACCTAATGGTAAAAAAGATCTAAATTATAAAAGTTTTTCTCGTTTCTGATATAAAATCCACCAGACAAACACATATTAATGCATAAACTTTAATTCTGGAGAAGCATTTTCAAATCTATAAGATTAATAAAAAATGGGAGCGATACAAAAATTATCGTATTCTATCGGTAATACAGACAAGTTTAGCCCCTTAAGAAGTAATGACATATTATCAGGATCAGATAGTTATGTATCTAGACATTAATCTCAAAACATTATTAAATGAAATTATTGATGTTTCTAATTAACATAATGAAGATAGTGTCTGGTAGAAAGTAAAAATAAAAGTGTATGTCATATTCATGAATATTCATGGTAAAACGTTTATAAAGAAAAAAAATGATCAAATTGAGCAAATATTTCATGATAAAAAGAACTTACCTTTGGACAGAAAAGAACAAACGGGCAGCAAAGAAAGTCACAATCCTTCAATCTAAAAAAGATAACAAAAAAGATAACAAAAAAGTTAACAAAAAAATAATAAAAGATAATACTCTTTTGTTAATAATATAGCTTCTACAATTTTTATAGCATAACCTCAAATTTTGAAAGGCATTAATTTTTTAAGAAATTAGTAAACATCCGAAAAAATATTTTTAAAATTGTAGTTTTAGTAACATTTTAATAAATTTATTTTATAATTTCTATTAATTATATCAATAAAAAAGAGGATTATTTTGGATTTTATATCGCTGAGCTCATCGAATGTTGCGTTGCCATATAACCTAATGCCAGATAGAAATCGAACAAACACAACTAAAAAAAGAATTACACTAGGGTTTCATGGTGCATTCAATTTAATGCTTGCAATATTAACTTAGCGATATATATATCATCAGATATAAATATTAAATTAGAATTCTTATAATTTAATAACGCATCTGTATAATTAAGAATGATAAATAATATAATAATAATTATATTATCGATAATTTGACAATATTAATCGACTAAAAGTCTAACATAAAAAGTCGACTTTAATATCCTTGGAAATAGTTGACTTTAAGTCGACTTATTGTAAGACAAGTAAAGTTGACACAAATTATTACAGAAATAGTCGGCTAAATGTCGACTTTACAAGTCGACTTCAAAGCGACTAAAAAAAGTCGACAATTAGTCGACAAACAGTCATTTGTGCTGTATGGGATGTGATATATTATACGTATATATGTTATGGCGGTTGCATCGCTGCAACTCGCCTTGCAAGAAATGAATTTTCGGATAATTGTAAGTTAGACAATTGAGATGGAGCAAGCTAAACCGAGTGCAAAAACAGGCAAAAACTCGGGAGAAAAAATAAAAATAGCAGCAGCGAAACGTTTAACGAAATTAACGAATATTTTGTAGATTTCTAATAATATATTTTTCGTGGATATAGATTGCTATGGATATAAAATGTAATATATTATATTCTTTTTTGAAAACTTGGAAAAAATCCAAAGAATCGAGTATCGATGATAGAAGAAGGGTAATAGCCGCGGAGCGAAGAAATAAAAAAATTCAAGTCTTATTGTCTCACGAACGTCGATCTATTTGGACATGTTAAAATAAAAATTTTATTTTCATCGATCAGAAATTAATTATACCCTCGCACCTTCAATAACCAAAATGTAATGCGTGCTATCAAGATATGAAGACATTTTTTTTTATCTAATCTTTTGAAAATACTAACATCAATAAATATTTATTTATTTCGTGTATTTATTGTTACTTATACTGCCAAAGATATGCAATATTTTTATTTGTCGTGATAAACAGTACTTTCCTTAAAATTTAA